CTCAGCTTCTTTTTTGTGAGATGGAATATGGACTCAGGTCTAGGCCATGCATCTCTACAACCTGTGGCACTCATCACTGCCGGCTGTGCTTCCTTCCTTCTGTTTGAGTTTAATCAGCACCAAGAACACTGAGTACCAGTAGATACTGTCCCTTCCAGGAACTGTGCCCAGGAGGAGGCTCCTAGTTAATGCTAAGCTTCTCTAAGGCACAAGCGCAACTCACTCTGAATGAGAACATCTGTAATAGCTTGAGAGGGGTGTGTCTTTCCTTAAAGTCTCCCACCCCTGCAGCTTGTGCACAAAGTAGGCTTCTCCTTTGGCAGAGTACAGTCTGCTATCAAGATATAAAATGGTATTCCCCTTGAATATGTGTATTCTTTGGCTGGTACTTAAACCCTGCTAGAAGATTTTCTTCCTGAAGTTTCAAAGGACATTTCTCAGTTCATTAGCCCTAAGAAATGATTCTGAATTACTCTCTGTTCATTAAATAGAAGCCATTTTTCCCCCTACTCTCTATCCTAGGGAAGCATAGAACCTAGAGTAGAAAATTCAAGTTTTAGATTCTGCCTACAACATTTTCTTAAGATTCCCCAAATCTGAAATGTTACAGTCTGGGCTGTTTTCTTGCTGTCAGAGACTCATGGGATTGCCAAATAAAGCCAAATAAAGCCGTTTCCCTACTAGCAGAGGATTTTTGAAGAACAATGAGAAAAATGTAACAGAAATGCCACCGTAGTCCTAATTTTCAGTTTGCCACTGAATGGACATGTCTTATTTCTTTCAACTACATGGAAAAGTGATAGAAGACAATCCCAAGTGTCAGTAAGACCTGTGAGATAAATGAAGGGTAGAAAGAAGGTGTGAGTAAAGAAGAAAATATATGAAGAACCCAGAAATGGAAGGCAGGCTGATTAAACAAGAAAGAGAAGTAGAGTGTGGTTGAACAAAGAAATAAAATGAAGAGATGTCCACCGCTGTGTGGGCTTTCAGGAAGAGATGAGCTGCTTCTTCAGTAGAAAGAAGGCAGGGGTGAGATGGAAATTTCAGGGGCCACTGGGGTCTGGCTGGCAAGAGATGGGTGATTCAAAAGCACATTCAAAAGAAGACTGATAGGCGTTTATGGGATGGAGGGAAAATACCCTGTCTGCACCACAGGAGGCAATGCATCAATGGGTCCTTCCTTGGGGAAGGCAGAGATGTATCTGCACTGTGTGTGGCTCAGGCCATGTAGAGAAGTCCCACATGTGGGGAGTGGATGTTGAGGTGTCTTGGGGCAAGCTGCATATTAACAGGTCACTCCAGTCAACTGAAGGAATGTACAGGAAGCAGGGAGTTTGGAGATGAATTTCATGTGACTCAGGTTGAGACAAAAGAGAAGAGTTGATTGGAGGAGGAAGGATACAGAAGAAAAAGCTCTGGGCTCTCCCAACTTCTAATTAATCTCTGGAGTCACAGTTTCACAGAAACCTAGAATTTCGTCTGGATTTGACAGGTTTTTCCTAATGTTGCAAATATTATTCATAGAAGATGCTCCTATTCATTTTCTTCAAAGATCTTCAATAGTTGCTAGCACCTTGCATTCATCTTTCATGAATAATCACTGACGGAATGAGTCAACCATGTTCCCAAATGAGGAATATGTTTTACATTAATTAAAATAGCAGTCAATAACGTGCAAGATTTAGCCTATATTTTCTTTATTACTGCCATTTGGCAAATTAAGGATGAGAGTCCTAGCAATTCAAATCTCCCTCTGAGGAAAGTTTAGTAACTATCAAGACAGATCTTGGCAGCTCTTGCTTGGGATCCCCAAGGCTCACTAAGCATTTTAAGAGGACACAAGACATTTTCCTAGTGGCTAGTGAGATAACCCTTATCCAAGCACGGGAGGCTGTGCAGTTCTGTATATTGCAACCTGCAAATCCTATGCTGAGGTTTAGAATTGTGTGAAGGCCTGAGGAGCAGGTGGCAGGTGAACTTGAGGCAAATTGTGCTTTTCTATTCCAGAGGAGATGGGAAAAGCATTGTGCTAGAAAACTCAAGCTCAAGTGCAAGGAGAGGTTGAGATCAGGATTGTGAGACAAGGGTGGGCTGTGGGAAGAGAGGAAGGCCAGTCAGGGGTCTTGCCAACCACTGACCTACTCTGAGAAGTAGGCCTGTGGCTGGAGTTTAGATGATAGTTGAGAACATGTGAACATGCGGACATATAGGAACTCTACCTTTAGAGTAAGCCACTCACTTTTTTGGACAATGACAAGAATCTTAGGATCACAGGCTATTGATGTTGAACAGAAAAGGCATCATTCAGCCAAAACAGAGTTGAGGACAGGTCACCAACCCTTGAGTATAAGGCCTCTAAATTTCTGAAATCTGCATTGACCAACATTTCCAATTTCTCTTTCAAAAGCACTATCCCTTAGCCACTAGGGTACCTGCTTTGATTTCCTCCAATCCCAGATTATCCAATTATCCATGTGGCTGCATATAGGTATGGCCCTATATGCAAAGTCATGTTTTAAAAATGGGATCTTCATTCTGCTTTAAAAACATTTATATATATCCCCTTCTTCTTTTCATTTCTCATTGTGATTTTTTTTCCCCTCTTTCTCCAGAAACAGTGGGGATGGATGTGGAGGTATCCTGGGGCAAGCTTAGCTGAATGAATAGAATTCCCACAAGTAGAGAAAGGAAGGAAATCTTTTCCAGCAGTACAAACAAAAGCAGAGAGATGTGGAGGAGCATAGGTAACAGTCACAGGAGATAACTCACACAGAATAACAGTCCTGCAGCCCCAACTCTAGAGCATCATTTATGGGCACACCCAGGACATACATACCTCTTTCCTGCTCTCAGCCACCTCTGTAATCTATGCACTGTTATCCCTCTTACATACACAAGAGTTCAGCCAGGTAGCTCAGCAGTGTTCTGGCCACTCTAGCTGTTTCTCAGCATAGTGTTTTATAGTTTATGAAGCACCTTCACATGATTATAAAGTTCTCAAACTCATTAATTCGTTGTTATCCTTGCGTCCATTTTACGTATGGTGACATTGACATCTGGAGAGATTGTATGACCTGCCCACGTCCCATGGATCATGGGTGGCTAAATTAGTTTTCAAACTGGTGTCCTCCAGTTCCATATCGCACGCTTTTCCAACCAGACAGTGGGAAAGAAAATGGAAGCTCTCAGACATAAACTTCCTGAAATTTCTTTGCATTCACCTTCAAGTTTATCTATTTTTTAAAATCCCCCTTTTCCTTCTGTCTCAGAAAGAAACTTGTTTTATACCGTGTTCCTGAAAGTTCTCTCTCCATCCTCAAGTGGTCTCATTTATTCCCATGTTTTTACATTTCAACTCTGTGCAGATGACTCTCCAATCTTTCTCTCTGAACTCCAGGGGTCATTTTGAAATCCTTCAAAAGCATCTTTTCTTGATCATATGCTTTTCACATATCATACACCACTCCCACCCTGTAGCTCTGCACTACTAACTCCCACTGTGCTCTATTTTTCTAGAGCTTTCTATGCTCTTCTTTTGCTTGTAAAGCTTTCCTTCCTTTCTCTACTTGTAGGAATTCTATTCATTCAGCTAAGTGTTATACCTACTATGAGTATTTCCCCAGTTTTTCTAGTGATGTGGTTTCTGTGTTCCCAAAGCACTTTGCTTATTGAGATAACATGTCACTTATCATATGGGAAAATTATTTGTCTCTATCTCTTTCTTAGTTTTAAAGCTGCCAACATAGTGAATACAAAGAAAAGGATTTTATTTATCACTACTTCCCTAGACTGCAATAAGCATGGCCCATGGCTTAGTGTTTGTGGAATGAATAAAGGAATAAAGAAATGAAAGGTGACTCAGTTACCATTCCAGTTTTTCAATATGCTCTAAGGAGGACATAGTCTGATTTTTTCCCTCACTTCAGATCTGCTGTGGTACTGAAAAGTGGTCTTGCTTGCTTTGTGAAAATATTGAGTTTTAAGTGAAAACAACAACAACAACAAAACCAAAACTAAAAAACCTACTGTATGAAACTATAAAAAAGGAAATGGAATGGTATAACATTTTTCATGTGAAAGAAAGTAAATATACTACTATCATCCTGTGACCCAAGTTACAGAAATGCATCCTAAAACCTAAAATTTCTATTTATTAATTTTCAAATGAAATAATAGGAACTGATCATTTTCTATTGGTAAATATGTATATTCACAAATTGCACAATAGTAAACTTCATCTGATTGAAATAATGAGTTTGGCAAGGTAAGGAAGAAAGGCTAGACTGAATTAGGGAAGTTGGAATTTATTGAAAGCAATGCAGTTTTATTACCTTCAATACTATGATCTGCCAATAAAGTCTGTCTAAGGAGACATCTACTTAATGACATGGATCCTTATTTTATAGCTGAATGTGTTTGCCTAAAGACCGCTATATGAAGACCCATGAAAATAATGCAGTCTTTTTGCATGGGTTATCAAGAGTTCTCTCTATTGTGCTTAGCATAACCATTCTTTGCAGACCATTCAACAATATATTTCCGCTTAGTCTAGAATAATGATTCAAAAATTGTTCATTAACAACATCTGAGTTAAGAAGGTCTTACTATATTTATAAAGGAAGGGACCTTGGAAACTAAAGAATATAGTCCAATGTTCCAGGCAGAAGTGGTAAATGCTTTCAAAATAAAAATGTAAACTTTTCCAAATAAGATAAATATTACTTATTCACTAAGCTAGATATCAGAGAAATCTATCTTTGAAGGCTTTGGTTTCCTTTATAAATTCCTTGAGGGCATGGGTCATGGTCTGCTTGCTTCTCTTCCCATTCTCTGACACTTTATACACTTCAACAGAGCCACCTGGGTTGTGCCTTCTGGTGATGGTAATCAACACCAGAACAGGCACTTTAGACATAATGCTGAGGTTTTAAGATAGTCTAGTTGCTGCTCTGCTAATCTGTTAGTAGCCAAGACTCAAACATTATGAGGAGGTTACTCACTGATTCTGGGTGCAGGCTGCAAGTAATTTATTGGGTCCCATCCTGGAAAAGAAGAGAAAGAAAATTCATATGTTACCATCACATCCAGACATTTACAAATCTTTCTAACAAATAAGACTCAAAACCTCTAATATTTTATAGTAACAAGGACAGTCATGGGCAAGAAGAAGGTCATGAAATTAAATATGTCATTTTCTGTGTTTCTGGGCTAAGGAAGAAATGGCAGGCTTGGAGTCACTTATTAGCAAACCTGGTATTACCTTTAAACTTTGTCATGCAAATGACAGTTTTGTGGCTGAGCTCTCCGCCTGGGAAAGTTTGGGAAGTTGGGATGGGTGCAGTTGGAAAATAGCCATCTCACAGAAGATGATTTCCCTCTATTTTTAGCATTCTGCTCAATTAATGTATTAGTATGTTAATATGCAAATTATATTTTCCACTTGAAATCTTTGTGTAAAATTGTATACTTTGGATATATGTCTTTGGGTAACATTGATACTTGGGGTAGATATGCCATGTACTTCTCCTAGCCCTGGGGCGGGGGGGGGGGGGGGGTCAGTGGCCCATCCTGGATACCTTAGTTTGGAAGACTTGTAACAGTAGAGGAAATCCAGGTAGAGAAAATAGGGCTCTGGGGAAAGCAATCCAAGGATAATTACATTGTCCAGAAGTAATGGTTGTTCCTTCTGTACTAAGAGCTGTGTAAGAGTTTTGTTTATCCTAATGACGGTCCTAAGGAGGACCGTCTTCTGCCAGATGAAATGGCCCAACGAACATACTATATTTCTCTTTGGTCAGTCATCTATGGGGAGAGGAGGGCCTCTGCTTATGCTGAGAACAATTCTAAGGAACTGAAAGCAGGTATTTACACAAGCAGTGTTTGGCTTTTTCAGGTACACAATTCCAATTCTTCCTTAGATAACATTATAAATATAGAATTCATAATCTATGATAATATCTATGATATTATATACCACATACTATTTTACATATTTAATCATAACACATATCATATTCTATACTATGTGAATATAAATATAACATCTTTAATACATATGTATTATGTTTTGTTCTTTGCATGCACGTCTTTTGAAATATGTTAATATGTTAATACTTGAATAAGCACTCAAGAGTAGCGTGACCTAAGCAATGTAGGAATATTAATTTTCTGTACTTCCTTCCTGTTCCATTTAAATATCCTACTGTCAGTGCAATTCATTTATGGCATTGTTTTTCTAACCCTAATTGAGAGCAAAGTTTTCTTGGCTCTTGTCTTTTTAATCAGTTTTTACCAAATTTCATTTGTGCAAAAATATACCAGGTTATACTTGTATCAATGAAATACTTTTTTGTTATTAGAATGATTAAAAGAAAATACATCCAAGTGCATTTTGAATTGTATTGTTCTGAATTGCCTCATATAAGGTCTCAGCAGTTCTACTTGATTTAGTAATTTCTGCATTTCAGATGAAGGTATTTATAAGTCATTTATATAGCTCATCAATAAATGATAGGTCTTTCAGTACAACTGATCCCCACGGGCTGGAACTTGATATGTAATCCGCTGCTCCAACCCACTCTAATGTAATTGCAACTTTCTATTTACCTGTTCACCCATGTAACAGCAGCATGATTAAGGTCACACTTTCCTGGCTTAGCGATAAAACTATTGTTTAGGCTAGAACCTCAAATCTTCTTCCACATGAAACTGATTATATCTGTTATTTATATGGCCTATCACTTAATCATGGAAGAAAATTAAATTGGTGCTGAAAAAACAACTACTCATAAAGTCAAATGCATCTGCTTCTTTATCTCTTATGATATTTGGTAAGTTGCTTATTGATTGTATGATGGATTGTTCTCATCTGGTATCCCTTTTAAGGTACTGGCTTATAATGATCAAATCATTTCCTTAAAAAATGTGGACATGGCAGGTGCTTTCCTCCTCTGGGTTATATCTCAAAGATAAAGGCTACGCAACTGCCAATTGCTTAAGTGTGTCTGAAAACCTGACATTGGGACATCATAATGACAGCATGTACAGGCATTGGATACTCTTTCCTGGTCTAGTTCGGCTCTCCACACATAACAGACTGAAGTACATTAGTCAAAGGCCTGTCTCCCACTTTATATAGCAAACTTATTGAACACAGGGATGACCCAGTTTTATTCCTCTTTATAACTTTCCCAAACCTAGGTGAGTGTCATGCATAAATATGGGTTGAATTAAATTACATTTGAGAGAGCTAGTACTTTAAAGATCTGGTAAAGAGGAAGGAGAGCTTTCATGAATTGTCTTTTAAGGAGAGGTATTCTCTCCCATCTCCCCAAAATATTAATAGAGTGAACAGCTCTTCAAAGGATTTTTTCCATACTGTATCTTCTGAGTCATTGTTATTCCTATTTATATTTTAAGGTAATAACTACCTATAGGATGGTTGTATGGACTGACTTACTAGGTACGTGATCATAAATTAAATACCTGTGAATGTTCATCTCTGAACAACTGGGAACCTGACTTTCAGTGTCAGAATTGGGGCTTTGCTTTACATAATGGAAATTAATTGAGTTTGACCGGAGCTGCTAAAATTAATAAGAGCTTAAACATTGCATCTCGTACACACATTCTTACATTGTGTTTACAAGTTTCAATATGGAATTACTACTTATTTAGGGGCACACACAATCCATTGAAACAGGATCTTTTCCCTTCATTCTATCCCTTTAATCTGAGTCATTTTCATTTTCTGTGGTGAAGCACATTTCACACGTTGAAATTTGGTGTAAACAACCTAATAAGTGAATAATTCTAGAGCTTTGATGGAAAATCAATTTTTTTTTTTAAAAAAGTAGCATTTCACTGATCCTTATCCTGAGGGTTGGAGAGCTTCATGCTTCGGAATCGTACACTGAGCCAGGTAGAGCTCACTTTCCAGTAAGAGAACACAAATAGGACCATATGTACTTTTCTTAGGAGAAATTGAAGTAATTCTTCTGGCCACATGATAAATTAATAAAGTTGTTTATCAGGGCTGGGAGTGTAGCTCAGAGGAACATTTGCCTAGCATGCATAAGGCTCTGGATTTGATCTCCAGCACTGGAAAAAAAATGGTTTATCATCCTCCTTCCCTAATAAAGAATAAAAAGAATAGGAAAAGTTTAGACAGCTTCCTAAGGCCATGTTGCAATTTGTTAAAATTTAAACAGGATTACACTTGGATTGCCAAAGCCTGTTCCTCAATAATGAGTCACTTTTTTTTCCCAGCTAAATCTTGCAGCAATCTGATTATCAATAGCCTCTAGATTTTACAAAAAGATATTTAGATGTAAAAATAAAGAAAACAAAAATATCACTGTGAAGTCTAGGCCTCTCGCTGTCCAATATTTAGTGGCTGAATTTAAAAGTTCATCCCAATATTTTCTTTTGAAATATTGATTTGATCTAACCTTACTTTCCCCCCTCTTCTTTTAAAATTGCCTGGATGCACAATTATTAAATCAATAATAGCCACAATAACAGCTAACAGGTTCTGAATCCTTATGAAATACCAGACATGCTACTGAGTGCTTTATGTGACCCTTATCTAACTAATATTGTAAGAATCCCATAGGAATACTACCAGGATTTCTGTGCATGTAATAAAGCTACATGTTTCCAGTCTGCATTTCCTTACATAAACCAAACTCACAATCGTCATCCGTATTTCCCAATTTCATTAACATTAAAGTGGATTGACAACTTAAAGGCACAAAGCAGAATCCCATTAGATTGAAGGGGTTTTTCCCCCCAATATTTTACTCACATCTAATTCTATAGGTTTTACTAATTCAACTCCATAGAGAATTTTCAAAACCAATTCAGAGAAACAGAAATTCCCTTTTATATACTCATATTATGTCATTGGCTTACATAATTTATAATTGGGTTAAATTTCTAAATGAACAAGTACAATTGGCACAGCAGATCTGGGAACAAACACAATGGGTTCTTGGTCCACCTACATCTCTCCACAGGTGGGGCCAGCTCACAGTGGGCTCAGGGGCACCCCATGTTGAGCTAGCTGTAAGTCTCAGTCAATGGGTTACATTGGGAGAAAGGAGAGGAGGGCTTTATCAGGCAAATCACTTAAGACCAGCAAAAGAACTTCTATTGTATTCGTTATTTTGTGAATAAGTTATTTAGATAACATTAAAATAAGAAAAAACAATAAGGTGGAAGAGAGGAAGAAGAGAGTGAGTTTAGGTATTTTGCCCAAGGCTACAAAACTAGAGGTGAAACTAGAATTTGACTCCAGTTGAGTATTCTTTTTCTCCATTCCATTATGCCTCAGAACAGAGGTGACTGCAGTGGGTTATATGTGATATTGGAGTCCCGAAAGGGGACTTGGGACAGCTGAAGATCAATCAGCAAGAGAACAGAGAGACCAAAACCAGAAGAACCCAGAAAGAGAGGAGATTGTCATAGAAATCTGCATGAGGGAAGCCCTGTAATCGTGCTTTCCTTGAGTTAACCCAAGTATTTCTTGACTTCATACCTCACTGGTTCAAAACAAAAGGGGTTTCAGAAAACAAATTTTGTCTACGGATATTGCCAACAGAACTGGTTTTTTATAGTTTTGAAATTGAAGAAATCCTGAAAGGTCATCTCACCTCATCAGCAGACAATATATATAACAGAAGAGCCTATGACTCAGTGGTCCCAGGGGGGTACCAAGCTTCAGGAAATCTGTGATGACAAATAGCAATTAAATGAAGTAATCTGAATTGCTCTCCATCTACTTCTTCCTAATCCCTGGGTTTTTTACTTGTTCTATTTCTGTCAAGTCCTTCTGTGGGTAAGACTATTTAAGCCCTAGTTTTGAAGAACTTCCTAGTCTCCTGGAAGGGATGGTTTTATAGTAGCTGTTTTAAAATGCCTCACAGTAGATTTTTATGTTTTCCCATTAAGTATTAATGATCTCAGCTTATGTTAAATGCTTTCTGTTTCTTTTCTTGGCATTTTCCAAGTTATTTCCTTCGAGAAGAAAATTGGAAAGGTA